CCCCCCGCCTCTGGGGAGCCCCCCCTCCCCCCCGGTAACCGTCACTGGCAAACCTCCCCTGTTAAGGGTGCGGCGAACCGATTAGACAGTCGCATCCCTGCTTGAGACCACATACGTCATGTGACCTGTCCGCTGGATCGCTACCTCCGTATTTTAGTACCTGTATCGTTCTCGAATACGAAGTTAGAAATACAAGGTGTCGCTCTGTTTATCATTTTGAATGTGCTAATGACAGCCGTTACTACTGTCCCTGAAGCATAACGCCTTGTAAAACACCCTTGTTTGTCTTCTAAGTCTAAGGCAGTGGTCTCCAACCTTTTTACACCCAAGATCACTTTTTAAAATGACAGACCAAGCCAAGATCTACTGCCCTGCCCCTTCCTTGAAGCCCCGCCCTCTCTATTCTCCTCCTCCTCTCCATCACTTGCTATCCCTAGAGCTTATACTGCTACTTTAAAAGAAAATTCCCATCATTCCTCGCAGCTACTCACCTGTGCTATTGCTCGGAGAGTAGCTGTTCCTCAAATGAGGAAATCTAATGTAAATGTCCTGCGCAGGCACGCAGTTCAGAGAGGGCTCAAGAGCTCCTCTTAGAGCCCCTGAGATCTATCGGTAGATCGCGATCTACTGGTTGGTGACCATGGGTCTAAGGTTTCCGGACTAGTAAAACGTGACCATACCACCCACTGCTGAGAGCCATCTTGAACCTGGTAAATTTCAGTGGAAAAGGGGAGGCTGTAAAAAAAATTCCTGCCATGGAGGAGAGTCTATTTAAGCAATGGGAAGTAACTGGCCCTTATCTTCAGCTGTCCCGGGAAATGGTCTAGCATGCGCTAAAAGGATACAGAGAGGGCTGGAGACCCAAGTCGGAGTTCAAGAGTTTGGCTCTGACTTGAAGTTTATGCCTGAAATAAGAGCAGCTCTTTAGGGTAAGAATCTGCATGAAATAAGTTTCTTAGGCCACATCTACATTATGCGATAATGTCAAATGTATTAAGGTTGATTTCCTGCCACCCGATACTTGTGACGGTCAATGCCCCCTCTGTGTGCAAGAATTCAACGTCATTCGAAGTAATACATCCCCCATTAGGGAGACTGCTGTTGACTTTGAGAACAATGCACTCTGCGTAGAAATCCCACAGTGCCTGTGCTGCTTTGCATTCTGGGTTAGGCTCCTGGTGTACGTTGGGACCAAAACTGCAGCAGGTATTTTTGGGTTCATGTCATCAGCGTCCCATAATGTGCTT